AAGCTAATACAGCTCTCTGTCCGACCACGGTGGTTCGCTTGGGCGTTTCCGGCTTTGCTCGCAAGTGAATGGAGCATGGCGATCCAGAACAGTTATAAACTTTGAATGCCAGTCTTGCCACATTTCATCCACGTTAGCCTGAGCAGGAAAAGCATACAAGTTTGCAGCAGTAAGGTCATTTCGGAAGTCGTTTATATTGATGTTGCTGAGATTTCGGGTGGATGTAGCCGGCTTACTGGTCGACTGCTTGGGCACGGAAATGTCCAGCTTGGCAAGAACTGCAAAGTGGTCACTGATCTTGCACTGAATGACATGGCACATCGCTACTGTTTCAGGACGGGCTAGGATTAGGTCGATTACGGTACCTTGGGGGCAGCCAGGCGTCACGCGCGTGGCACTATCCACATGGTTTGCTAGACCGTATGCACCTGCCAAGTCAAATGGATGGCAAGTTTGATAGTGTGTCCTGCTGGTATCAATACCAGGCGGTCTGGCATTCGCGTTGAAATCGCCGAGGAGAGTTATCGATGGGGTTATCCGTGAGGCTCCGTCAAGCGCTCTCTCTAATCGGGTCCAAAAGCTCATGGGCTCAGTTGGTGGGCGGTAGACACAAGCAAATACATGGTGGGCTGTCCCAGAATTCGTTGTCTGTAACCAAAGAGCTTCCAGGCCATCCTGCGCAAGGTCCAGCCGAGGTTGGAGAGCAAGAGATGAGCGATAGTAGAATGCCACGCCGCCTCCTGGGCGCCCACGGTCAAGTCTCACGAAGGAGTAGTCTAGAATGACTAGTTCTCCATTACTGATAGTCTCATCTAGCCATGTCTCTGCAAGGCCAATCACGTCGATCTGGGAGCTATCTAGGAGTGCCTTAATTTCATGTCTCTTGTGTCGCAGACTGCAAACATTTAGGAATGCAATTGTCAAGGGGGTTAACTTATTGTGTGGGGTACTGTGCCTGGTGAAAATGGTGATGCATAGGAGAAAACTTGCGTAACACAATACAAAGCAATCAAAATGAAGATAAAGAAGAATCGTGCGAGCAAAGAATCAATCTATGGACTACGGCGCCAGATCCTCGGCTGTGAGCGGATTCTGATGGGCTTCTTGGCTTTCCTTTGCTTCCTGGTACGAACATCTGTGAAAGCTTCAGAATCAGAGCCACCGTTCTCGTCTTCCATTTCGGAGCCGACATTTTCCCAGCTTCTATTTTCCGGGAGCTCATCCGCCGACGACTTAACCTTGTCGCAGCTGTTTTCATCTTCAACAGTGTGTGTATGTACATGTTTGCGGGGTCTGGTTCTTGCGCGTCCCAGCTGATCTTGTGCTAGGCTGCCCATTGACCTTGTCAGGTACGGTGGACTCGCCCGCACTGGCGCCAACGTCAACTGCTACAGTTTCTGTGTGAGGGCTTTCATTTATCTGTTCTTGGCTTGGCGCCTCTTGGTGACCCGTACTAGAACTCAATTGCCCTTGCAAGGAGTCTGCGTAGGACATGTTGGTCTGCGAGTTGTGTACGCCATTTCTCGCACCTGCAGCTGCTGTACCTGGGCAGTCTTTTGCCAGATGGCCAGAGACACTGCAGCGCCAACAAGTTTGAATTTGACCTTTGTGCCATACTCTTACGGTACGGGAACCTACTCGCAAGCTAGAAGGCACAGCCTTCCTCAGGGAAACTTTGACATACGTGGTCCCGGTGTCAGCTGCAAAGCCCTCATGGCTAACAATCTTCCTCTTTGGAGGACCATGGACCCGACCATAGAGTGAAATTTCATGCACAAGAGCACCATCTTGCAATGACAGGGGGCATCCGAATACATGGAGAGTCGTAACTGACATGCCTCCCATTACAACTTCGACATTCTAACTGGCAAATACGAATTCTTCCTCTGATGTCAACAGGCGGTCGCGCACTCCTTGGGTGATGAAGGTGACATTGCACCAGCCAGGCTTCCCGTTTAGGTCCAGGTGGCTGAGTTCGGAGGGCTGAACACCCAGTCTAGACAGCTTCTTGATAAAAAATACATGGTCCAAAGGCCAGTCCTTGTGGACCCTAAACGTAAATGAGGCAGGAGCAGGAGCTCCAGAAGTGCTCCTGTCCTCCATCGTGAATTTGCAAGGATGCTAGTGATATCCAAAGTGCTTGAGAAGGTAGTACACGGACAACTTGTAGCATTCTTCGACAATCATCAGGAAGTTGGTGCACTACCGGAGAAGCAGTTTGCTTACAGACACAATCACAGCTGTGAAGACCTTTTGGTGTATGCAATAAACGACTGGCAGTTGGCCTTGGACAAGAAGCAGCTGTGTGGAGCCATGTTTGTGGACACGAGCAAGGCCTTTGACCGCGTTCAGCATAGCAAGCTCGTGCAGGAACTGGCTTCAGTTGGCGTCGGAGGTGTGGCATTGCGTTGGTTCGCAGACTACCTTACTGGGAGAACCCAGCAGGTCATTGTCGGCGATGCCCGAGGCAGTACAGAGCCCTGCTCACGTGGTGTACCACAAGGCTCCGTGTTAGGTCCCTTACTTTTCTGCATTTATATCCGCCGTACCCCTCAGAAATTTCAATATTGCTGTGCTCTCCTGTTTGCGGACGACATCGTGTTCTACGTCATTGGTCGCAAGGCTTCAACCGTGCTCAGAATGCTGCAGACAGATCTCTTGAATCTGGAGGACTTCCTCAGCGAATGGGGACTGGTGCTGAATCCCAAAAAGTCTCAGCTACTGCTGTTCAGACGACATGCTGCGCACCTGCACGTGATCCCCAGCATCACCTGCAAAGGCACCGTAATCCCCGAGTCCAGCCATGTTCTGTACTTTGGCCTCCTATTTGACTCGTCGCTCAGCTTCGAGCAGCAGGTTGAGCGTGTGTGCGCAAAGGCACATTGCAAGGTTGCCTCATTTCGCCACGGACGCCGCGATGTCTCCATGACCGGCCGCCACATGTTTTACCTGACAATTGTCCAGAGTACCTTGGACTATGCCAGCACATGTTATGTTCAATGCTTGTCTGCTAAACTCCGAGACAAACTTGAGTCAACCAGCAACAGGTGCCTAAAGCGAGTGTTTGGCCATGATCAGTATACTTCTATCGATTGTATTCTCACCAAATATAACCTGTACACTTTCTCTCGCCGTGTAAACTTGAAGCTGTTTGTGTTTGTTTTTAGTTGTCTATCTCGTTGCACCAGTCCTCTTCTAAGCACGATATTTACCCCCCGCTCTGCATCATGCCGCACAAATGCCGCTACCCGCGGTCAAGCTTCAGCCGCTCTGAACCTACCCAGTGCTACGTCTCGTTACGGCCTGAATGCTATTTCATTTTTGGCAGCAGACAGATGGAACATGCTTCCACCTGGATGTCGTCAAGCTAAGCCCCTTTCTGCATTTGTCACAAGCACCAAGTCATTCCTAGGGTTCCCAGTAAAAAGGCAACCCCTGTTGGGAGTTCCCTAGTAAAATAATAAATTCTACTACTACTACCACCTGGAAAAACACGATGACGCCTGTTGGGAATTCCCTAGTAAAATAAGAATAAAACTAAAAAACAAAATAAAAATATGCCTTGAGCCCCTGGGTCCTTCGTCATTCCGGCACCCAATCTTACTGTACTTCTCGAAGTACACTTGTCATGATGATTTGATGGAATGTTTTAACACTTCTTGCTGAAGGGGAGCATCACGGACACTTCTTTGGTCTCCTCCACGGCACTTCTCTGCACACAGTTGCAGAAACGTTGCGAAGCAGTTTGTGAAAATGAAGAAAGTTGCGAAAGTTGTGATTTCTTCCAAAACAGCAAAATTTGTGAAAAAGAGGCGAGAATCTTTGGGAAAGGGCTGTCACTGATACCGCGGGTTGCGATGGGAAGCCTGGAATTGTTGGAGGAAGTAGGCTGACTTCAAGCGACGGGACATGATGCTACATTCCCGACGGAGGGCGCGATATTGCCATACCTTGGACGGGTGCCGCCTGGAGGCCCGATGTAAGTGCTTCTTACGATGCAGCAAGTTTCTCAGTTCGTCGAAAGATTACATGTATGCAAAGTGCAATGTACATGTGTTACATGAAAGGTATGCATTGGAGGTAACTACAGAGCATCTATATTATGGTAACGTCATGATGCGCGACCTCAACACGTTCACGTGCTGTCAATGGTTGATACAACTACTTGGAGTACATGTACTAGTTCCTTGACTTTATGCTCATACATCATACATTCCAACAACCTTGTTTGTTTGTTTGTTTCTTTTATTTGAATTCGTTTAGAGCACAGGCAATTCTGCCTTCTCACCAGAGGAAAATCTCCGGTTCCTGCTAAGAACGAATATAATATTATGAGAGAAGGAAATATTAAAAAGAATCACATGATAATTCCAAAGCACAAATTATGTATATAATTCAAATGGGTGTGTGTATGTGTAAGCATGCAGTGAAAAACAACAAGAGAAAACATGCAGTAATGTGTAGGGATGCCGAGCAAGGAAGGAGCGCAATTAACACTGGTGACAAATTACAGTTAATTCTGTTCATAGCCAGTTTAAAGGCAAAAGCCGCAGTGTGGAGGCGAATATCGCTGGGAAGGGCATTCTAAAGAGTGCTTCCCACAAATGTCAATGACTGACGACCGGAAGGTCCAGAAAGGAAAGGCACTTGCAGTAGTCGCTGTTCCTGTCCTCGAGTAATTCGGCGATCATCCCAGAATGCTTGGACTGTATTAGTCATCAACTGAAAGTAGGTGCAGAAAAGAGGACTTGCAAGATCATGTAGGCACCGGAAAACAAAAAACAAAACCTTGTAGTGAAAAATGTGAGTTAGGGATCGAATAGAAAAGCGCACGAGGGGGGGGGGGGCTGTGGATGCACGCTGGAAAGTGGGAAAATTGCACGAATTCCGGATTTGCTGGATTTGATTAAACGACTCTGCAGCTGCTGTGTCAGCGACGGGAAGAATGCATTGGATGCGTACGTTAGTCGTGCTTGATGACTGTTATCTTATGTTAACAGACTGGTGATTCGTCATGGAATGGGTTTGCATCCAGGTATTCATTATCAACAGATAACCTTACACTGACCATTTCAGCTATCCAGTACAATGACACTGGTGTATACAACGTCAAACTGGGAAACTTAGCTGGAGACATAACTGTCAAGTTTTACTTGAGTTATTCAGGTAAGCTCTGGTTTGTGGCGGTCTCAGTTAAAGTTTCCAGAATATATGGGAGTTTGAATAGTATAACCCAGAAGAGGATTTTAATTTCTGCGAGAAAAAGGACTGCAGAAAATCGAAAATTGTGAGTCTGTCTGTTTCTTCTATTAGAATTCATTTAGAGCACAGGAAATTCTGCCTTCTCACCAGAGAAAAAGCCTCTGGTTCCTGCTAAGAACAAATATAATATTATGAGAAGAAAATATTATAAAGAATCATAACATGATAATTCCAAAGCACAAAGTATGTATATAATTCAAATGGGTGGGTGTATGTGTAAGCATGCAGTGAAGAACACACAGAGAAAACATCCAGTAATGTGTAGGGATGCCGAGCAAGGAAGGAGCGCGATTAGCACTGGTTACAAATTACAATTAATTCTGTTCAGAGCCAGTTTAAAGGCAAAAGCCGCACTGTAGAGGCGAATATCACTGGGAAGGGCATTCCAAAGAGTGCTTCCCACAAATGTCAATGACGGACAACAAGAAGGTCCAGGAAGGAAAGGCACTTGCAGTAGCCGCTGTTCCTGCCCTCGAGTAATTCGGCGATCATCCCCGGATGCTTGGCCTGTATTAGCCGTCAACTGAAAGTAGGTGCTGAAAAGAGGACTTGCAAGATCATGTAGGCAACGGAAAACCGAAAAACACCTTGCAGTGAAAAATGTGAGTTAGGGATCGAATAGATAATCTCACGAGGAGGGGGCTGTGGATGCATGGCTGGAGAGTCGGAAAATTGCACCAATTCCGGATTCGCTGGATTTGATTAAACAACTCTGCAGCTGCTGTGTCAGCGACGGAAAGAATGCATTGGATGCGTACGTTAGTCGTGCTTGCACAATGCCAATGTACCAAAGTCTGCGGGCTGTTATGGGCAGAGATCGCCCATGGTGCATATGGCGCCATAGCTGGCTGAGACTAGATCCAACTTTTGGAGCTCCTCCCCAACCGGCTCTTCAACTAAGGCCCCATAGTGTCGCGTACGCGAGCTTCGTGATTTGAATCTCGATTACTTAGTTATAATTTTACTACTTCCCTTTTTTCACGTCGGCTCTACGCGACGTCATTTGCTTTCCCCAGCTCCGCTTGTGAGGCGCATGTGCCATCCTTTTTCAGGGCTTTTTGACTTTTACAGTTTTGGAGAGAGAGGCAAAGATAGAAGCTTGAAAGTATTTACTATTTATGGCAAGGTCGCTGCGATGAGTGTGAGTTCGTGTAGAAGCATGTAGCCCTTTAGATGCAAGAGTGAACCCAGGGTGCAGAGGTGAAAGTGTTCACCACACATAGTGTTTTGTGTCCCCTGAGCCCATGCTATTTGTAACGTGGATGCCCATACTGTAACATGAGACGAGAGAAAAGTGGTGTCATGGCCATGTTAGGACGGACGAGGAACATAGCACACACTTCAGTTCCGTGAAGCTCTCTGCAGTCCGGTGTGAGCAGTCTTGAGAGGGACAAACCTGAGCCTCGTGACAACTCCAGATTTCTTGTTAAGGCCTCTATATGCTCGGCCATGGGAGTATCGAGACTGTCCGAAGCCCAACCGACAACACCCTGTCGGCGCTGCAAGAGGTGGCCCAACACCTGATGGTGCTTACAACGCGAACAGCGACAGCACGGCATCTGCTGGCACCCAGCAATGATCAGTGCAGCTCCACCGCTCCGCTGGCTGGTAACCAACGCATTTGGCCTCACCAGCAAGCATGGACAGCTGCAGCATGCACTACTCAACGATAACGTCGACATAGCGGTTATCACAGAAATGAAATTCTCGGCCCAGACCTTAGCCTATGAGACGATATTTCCAGGATATACACCACCCATCCGACGTGCCCGGGATGCGTTCGGTGGCGGCATTCCGGTATGGGTGAAGTCCGGCTTCCCAGTGGTGCACCTCGACCAGATTCCCACTGAGCACGTGGAAGATGACGAGTAGGAAAAGAGCTTTCCAGTAAGCCGTATATTGTGAGAAATCCGTTGAGAAACAATCAATATGTGGCAATTTGCTTGCGCCGGTGATCGCCGTTGCCGGGAGCCAGATTTTGTCAAATTTCAAACCAATGCTTGTCCTAAATTTTCCTAAATTGAGCCTAGAGATAAGGTCCGTTCGCTATTTTTGTAGTGGCTTTAAGATGGCAAATAAGTCAGCATACATGAAAGATGCGGCCAAAGCCATAAATGCCTGGTTCACCTCTGCTGGTTTTGCAAAGATTGCGCCTCTTCCCAGTAGTCTCAAACTGAGTAAGAGGAAGAACCGGAATGATGCAGACAACACCTCTCGTTTGGTTGCCGACTTAGCAGACGACATCATCTCTAGCGAGGGTCCCTGGTTTGTGTCCTGGTGGTGACAGTCAATTTTTTCTTCAGACTTTTCCTGTTTGTCTCTTTCCCTCAAACCAGTTAATATGTTATGACTTGGGGCTCCCCGCGTGCTAGTTTGTACGTGAAGTGTGTGGGTTACAGTGGGGGCTGCGTCCCACCCGCCTGTGTGGATTCACAGAAAGTGTGAGTTACGAAGTCTGAAGAAAATGTTGTACGGCCTCTGCTGGGATGACGACTACACCATAGCTCAGTGGTTAGAGCATTGCTGGCTACAAGCGAGGGTCCCTGGTTCGGGTCCTGGTGGTGACAGTCAATTTTTTCTTCAGACTTTTCCCGTTTGTCTCTTTCCCTCAAACCCAGTCAATATTATTATTATTATTCAACGCAATAAATAGAGTAAGCTGCGCACTCAGTACAAACACCATAAGCAAAACTTGTTTTCATGTAAATAAAGAAGCTTGTTCCTAAACGTTTTCGTTGCCATCTCATCAGAGGATTACTGGCAAATCAAAAATAGCTCTTAACTCAATATATATGTTGGACTCAGTATAGAGTCCATGCACTATATGATGTCCAGTACCCTATATAGAGTCCATTGGTCCAAAATCCACTATACAGAGTCCAGGAGTCCACTCAGTTTTGATCAGCTTCATCCTGCCGCGGAATCCCCTATAAGGAGTACACTTTTTCTACAAGTCCCCTATTCACGGTCCAGGAGTCCAGTTTATCCAGTCACGCCGTCCTGTGTGTTGTGCCCGAAAGAGAAAACACCTTTTCAGTTTTGCTTGCCTCATGGCAGCGCATTCCTTTCTTCACTTCAGCCATGGCTGCCAGTTCTGCTGTGCAGTTGCTGACAGTAATCTGTCTCGAGGTAACCAAGGAGGATAAGGAGACGTTCAAAATCAAATCTGGAAAGCGTCTTGTGGTTCTCTGAAGACGTTTCATCCGTGCGCGGGATGAAAGCAGAAATTGCAGAACGAGAAAAGTTCAGCACAGTTCAAATCTGACGAGTCAGGTACACTGACACTCTCTTTCGTTCGACACCACAAGGATCCCCTGTTTGGCTGGCCATTGCTGCCAGGAAGGCGTTTGAACGGATTCATCAGAGCGAGGGATGAAAGCAGAAAGCGGAGAACGAGAAAAGTTCAGCACAGTTCCAATCTGACGAGTCAGATACACTGACACTCTCTTTCGTTCGACGCCACAAGGATACCCTGTTTGACTGGACAAGAGGTGCCTGTACCACCGTGTCAAAAGGCTGTCCAACTACATGGCAGGACGATGACTGAGGTAAGGAAGCTTTTACTCGTTTCGATTGGTCTGCTGTGTAGGCTGTCGTTATGCTTGAATTTTTTTCCATTTTCAAGGATCGTATCGCGTTTTTGTTTGATGTTGCTTGAATGAATGCCATAAAAGTAATCAACCACTTCGTAATAGTCCTCAAGGACTGCAAGGACTTTGCATCAATCGTATAGGATCGTCTAGATATCATCAATTATTATTTTATTTCATGAGAAAAGTATTTTTATCCCTGTGATAATTATGTGAACTCCACGACACTCTTCCTCTACTACTAGGCTCTAGTATGATGTCAAATACAATGGGATCCACAAACGCAGTGCCAGTGTACCGTAGTAGTAGTAGGAGGATTTCTTGTATGCCGATGACAAGAAAAAGCTTCTCAAGCTAATACATGTACTCGTATTCCATGAAGTAACCGTTTTGATTTCACAAACATGACATTGTGTCAGTGAAACTGCCTCGTGACAACAAATCATTGCTTTTCCATCTTGGGGAGGACTGACTGACTGCAACGCTGTACAGATTGTTTAAATCATCTCATTTCAATTTAGGTGCACTGAAGTGAAACACTGTGTACACTACATGTATGGTGGTGTGTCTGTGCGTCTTGAGTGTGCACAAACAATCTTATTCCTCGTATTACTAATAGATTATTGTCCCCACGGTCGCCTGTTCACAGGTCTTTGTGTGGATGGATTTTCATTGAGCATCACATTCGTTGAGAACTTGGTAGATATGTGATCCCATGCATCATTACGGTAATAAGCGTATCCTTGTGCTATATATTTGTTGCAGGTGTGCTGATCTTCAGAAGCTTGCGGAACTGAGTGCTGCTGAACATTTGCATGGCCATGAGCAATGGTGAAGCTTGCTATTGCACTCTCAGCATGTGCTAGTATTATGCTGACTACTGCACTATGTTACTCTCTTACACTACTACATGTATGTAAACGTGCGTGCATCCGCCCACGTATGCATTCGTTTCGTATAATTATTTGTTGTCCCTCTTGACTTAACGTGTAAATGGGTGGACGTTTGTATGGCTGTTTGAGTTGCTTGTGTATTGTGTCTCTACTCTTTTCTTGGTGTTTTCTTGGCGTTGTATAAGTTTGTGTGTGTGTGTGTGCGCGCGCACAAGAATTTGAAAACAAATAATTAATCATTGTCTCTCCATTATTCTCTTTCGATTCTTGTTTTTTTCTAGGTATTTTCTTGGCGTTGTGTGTGTATGTGCATGTGTGTGTGTGCGTGCACAATAATTTGGCAACACTACATGATTGAGATATTGTAATTTGCAGCGTCTGCGAAAAGACCACTTGATTTGAGGATGGTGTTTGTAGGGTT